GAAACAGAAAAGTTTTAAGTCCTCGTTTGAAGTTCTCCAATGACTGTGGGGCCCTCAGGTGTGGTGGTAGGCGTTCCACAGTTTGGGAGCAGCCGCTTGGAAAGCCCTGTCACCCATTGTCCAGAGTTTAGTTCTGGGGATGGAGAGGAGGTTGGTGTCTGTGGACCGGAGTGCTCTGGTTATGGGCGGAGGAGTGAGAAGTTCTGTGAGATAGTCCGGGGCAGGTCCGTGGATGCATTGGTAGGTGAGGAGGCAGATTTTGTATTGGATGCGTTGGATGATTGGAAGCCAGGGAAGCTCGCGGAGGACTGGGGCTGGTGCTTCGGCGTCCTCGTCAGGATCCTGGCATCGTATCCTCTGGAGAGACCAGTCTCTCGATGTAAGCTAGCTCTGTTCAGGGCTTGGTTTCTTCTTTGATGATGTTTTGTTTTGCTGTGTCTGCAGTTACAGCCAGAGGAGTTATAGCCGCTATCAGCTCCATGCTGCTGTGTTTACCTGCACTGTAGAGGCCAGAGGAGGCGTGGCCTAGAGGAGGCGTGGCCTGTTGGGAACAGCACCGCTCCTGGTTCTGTGATTGGAGGAGAGCGGTCTCTACTCAGCACTTTTTACGGCCTGAGTTCATACACCGCTGAATCAATGAGCTCTAGTTTTCCATTAAATTACAGATTATAATAAAACTGAATTGGGTAAAGCTTTTTTAAACAACTACATCCAACATGAGTTATAAAAGATGTAACTCATGAACTGTAAATGCTTCTGTTTGTAGAAGTTAGATCTGGGACTAAAGCAGCGATCGCTCTGACCTGGCTTCACCCGCTCGTCCTCTTTTGTCCTGAATGTGAAACTATCAAACCGCCTTTAAATCTTCAAATTAAAAGCTGAGTTTCTACGGCAACACGTCCCAAATACAGCTTGGACTAATCTCCTGTGTCCCTCCCCCAGCTGTGTCCGGTTAGGACCAGAACCAAACCCTCCTCGCTTCTCCAGCCGTCCTTTCATGGTTCAATAAGTTTCATTTCAATAATGTAGGTCATCTTCTGTTCGTCTGTCTCTGTTCAGACTTTAACCATCAACCAATCAGAGACGTTCTTACTACTTGATCTTTGTTTGGTGTTAAAGCACAGGATAATGTTTCCTTTTCCCAAAGTCACTCATTTAGTTCTGTGCTAGCAGCCGGGCTACTGCTGACTAAAGCCATACTCGCACAGGATTAGTTTTACCTGTGGACCTGTGGTCATTTCAAAAATGTCTGTAAAATAATATATTATTACTGACATCTCACAAACCGGCCGCACACGTCTCTCCGCTTCACACAGTTCATAAATGTAAACTTTAGTGTTGTCTTGACCCACTCCCTTCTCGTTCCCTATAACCTGATGGTTTTCTTTGTGCATTCTAAACTGCCATTGTTGCCATGGTTATAAAAACTATTATCATGTTAGGGGTGAATAGCAATGAACAGACTACAGCTGAAGCCGTAACGACGACAGAGGAGAGGTGACGTACTACACAAGCTACCACCGTGACTCAGATTGACTCATTATGTGTGTTTTTGACTTAAATCTGACCTAATGAGACATACGCAGAACGAAAGAGGAAAGTCCACTTCCTCTTGGACATAAATAAACATCTAATTCTAGTTTTTACACTACCACTCACTGCTCTCTACTCTTCCATTGAGCAGTCCCAGGCCCAGCATGGGTTAAGAGCTGTGGTCCCTGTGGATGTGGAGTGGGCACTGGTCCAGACCCGTTGCCCACGGAGACCGGCCCTGCTGTAGACCGCAGTCAGCTGATCCCGTTTCCCATGGTCCTCTCCTCCGAAAGGCCATCTGAGTCAATCTGCAAACACAGCAGCGGGAAAAGCTGCAAAAATGTTTATATTTGCAGCGAGGGCCTAAACCCGGGCGTTCTGAGTGTTGTGGAAAGTGTTTTTAATCACTGCACTGAAGTGTCTCACGCAGAGGACACGCCCAGTAGAAGTTGACTCAGCTTGAGCAGGAGTCATTTTGGAAAACAGCACAGTTTGATACGGCTCTGGGTGAAACTGACGTCACTCAGAGACAAGAGGAGAGAGTCCAGGATCTCACACTGACCTGGGAAGGCTTTGAACTGAGAAAAAGACTCGACACAATCAATGTTTTGACCCAGAAATGTTGGAAGAGAAGTCCAGAGGTCAAGCTGGAGCCGTGAAAAGGTAGCACCAGGTGAATGGAACATATTCACCTGGTGCTACGCTTACATCACAGAATACTTACCTCATATAATACAGTTATTTACTTAAAGTAGCAATATGTAAGAATTATGACATCATTAAATGGCCCTAATCTGTCATCATTAAGGGGACCTAATCTGTCATCATTAAAGGGCCCTAATCTGTCATCATTAAGGGGCCCTAATCTGTCATCATTAAAGGGCCCTAATCTGTCATCATTAAAGGGCCCTAATCTGTCATCATTAAAGGGCCCTAATCTGTCATCATTAAAGGGCCCTAATCTGTCATCATTAAAGGGCCCTAATCTGTCATCATTAAAGGGTCCTAATCTGTCATCATTAAAGGGCCCTAATCTGTCATCATTAAAGGGCCCTAATCTGTCATCATTAAAGGGCCCTAATCTGTCATCATTAAAGGGCCCTAATCTGTCATCATTAAAGGGCCCTAATCTGTCATCATTAAAGGGCCCTAATCTGTCATAATTAAAGGGCCCTAATCTGTCATAATTAAAGGGCCCAAATCTGTCATCATTAAAGGGCCCTAATTTGTCATCATTAAAGGGCTCTAATCTGTCATCATTAAAGGGCCCTAATCTGTCATCATTAAAGGGCCCTAATCTGTCATTAAAGGGCCCTAATCTGTCATAATTAAAGGGCCCTAATCTGTCATTATTAAAGGGCCGTAATCTGTCATCATTAAAGGGCCCTAATCTGTCATCATTAAAGGGCCCTAATCTGTCATCATTAAAGGGCCCTAATCTGTCATAATAATAAACTGCTCTTTTCCAATACTTCTTTAACTGATAACACTAGTAATTTCTAAATTACTTTTCCAGCCTCTAAATCTTGTTATTGTTTTCATTTCGATGTCCCGCCCTCCATCGTTTCACCAATCAGAAAGTCTGTGATCCGGGCGCCAGAACTCACCGCGTGGAGCTAATCTCACTGGTAAAGTACCATGTGGCGCAGAACTGAAAAAGGTCTCGTTATGATTCTCAAATCATTAACGACAAAACAAGGAATAAAACCAGGATTTCTATCTTTGTGAAAAAGGTGTTGGTTATAGATTTGTTGTTGACAAAACTCTTGTCTATTCAGCTGTTATGGTCCCAGCTGGATTCGTCTGCATATCTGGCAACCTGAGTCAGGGAGAGTGGGAGAGGCTGCAGTACCATAATACAGATACTTACTTACTTAAGTTTCCAGTTTGCGTTCTGTCTTGACTTGACGCAGGTTTTAACAGATATTTTTGGCTCAGAACCAGTTGTTTTTCTGGTTTCTTATTTCATCTTTGTGACATTTAAGAATCCAGTCTGGTTGGTTGGAAACATGGATCCCTGAAATTATTATAATATTTAGTCCTGACATTCAACATAACAAAAACAGTCTTTTAAAAGTAAAGTGTGAACAAATAAGAACTCATTTTCTGTGGATTCCTGTGAGTCACATTTTGTTGGATTTTCACTTCAATTTATTCTTGTATCGCCCTAAATCACAACAGTCGTTTTCTAGGACTCTACAAAACTGTCGATTCTCCATCTAGTGTGTAAGAGATGGGGGCGGGGCCAGTACAGGAGGCACAGACCCGGAGGAAACCTACACCGACACGGGGAGAACATGCAAACTCCACTCAGAAAGGCCCTGTTCCGACCGGGATTCGAACCCAGGACCTTCTAGCTGAGAACAGAGACAAATGTTTATAACTGTTGATGACGTCCATTTTGTTTTGTGTTTTTGCGGCTCGTAAATGTGACGGTGCAGATTTTAACGTCAAGACCGAAAGAATTGAAAAGAATGTTGTTTTGGTAAAGTTTGTCTTGATAAAGTTTCTGCTCGGGATTTAGAACATGTCAGTGTTTAATCTCAGAAGACTTTACAAAAAACGTTAAAATTCACACACAAAAAATGCAACGATAAAAACACACAGAGCTCATCAGGGACAGAGACCAGTGTTAGTGAATGACGGGCCTTCATCCACACCAGTGTCAGACTGTACAACGAGTCACTAATGCACCAGGACTGAAAACCAGCTCTTTTTATTGTTCATAATTATATATATTTTTAACATGTTTCACACTTCTGTCTTTTACACAGTCTGAGTAACTCTATCCGTGCCAGATGGGACATTTCTCCATCAGAGATCAACAAACTCTGTTTTATTTAATCTAATCTGATCTAATCTGATCTAATCTGATCTAATCTGATCTTTTCTTAAATGTCCATAAAGTTGGTGTGTGTGGAGTGTCCTGGATCTTTTCTGTGGTGTTGATGTCGAGGCCCGTTCACAGCACAGACACACAGATCAGAGCTATGTGTGTGTGTGGGCCTCACCGTGTGTGGGCCTCACCGTGACCTCCAGCTCAGACCGCTCCTCCTCTGGCCCCTCCCACTGCAGATCACCCCCCCCCCCCCCCCACCCCCCCCCCACCCACACTAAACAGACAAGTGCCAAAGAGCCACAACTGCCCGTCATAAAGTTTGAGTGATCATGACCCGCAGCCAAAAACAAAACAAAAAAGGTCCTGGGTTTGAATCCCGGTCGGAACAGGGCATTTCTGAGTGAAGTTTGCATGTTCTCCCCGTGTTGGCATAGGTTCCCTCCGGGTGCTCCGGTTTCCCCTACCACTAGTAACATGTACAATAGATCTGCTCTTCCTGTAGCCTCCCATCTCTGTGGAGCCAGAGACAAATACCCACAAATGTAAAGCGTTTTGTGGTCTGTGACATGTGCTATACAGATAAATATCACACATGTAACGGTGGTCTCTGTGGTCTCTGTGGTCCCAGTGCTGGACCGGCTCCTGGTCGAGCTGCACCGGTTCCTGCTCATCCTGGACAAAGAGAACCTGAGTGGGAACGCCACGGTCCAGAAGAGTCTGCTGTCTGACCTGCTGCAGAGCTACAGAGGGAACACAGGTACAGACACACTGGTATCACAGGTACAGACACACTGGTATCACAGGTGCAAAGGTACAGACACACTGGTATCACAGGTACAGACACACTGGTATCACAGGTACAGACCCACTGGTATCACAGGTGCAAAGGTACAGACCCACTGGTATCACAGGTACAGACACACTGGTATCACAGGTACAGACACACTGGTATCACAGGTACAGACACACTGGTATCACAGGTACAGACACACTGGTATCACAGGTACAGACACACTGGTATCACAGGTACAGACACACTGGTATCACAGGTACACAGGTACAGACCCACTGGTATCACAGGTACACAGGTACAGACCCACTGGTATCACAGGTGCAAAGGTACAGACCCACTGGTATCACAGGTACAGACACACTGGTATCACAGGTACAGACACACTGGTATCACAGGTACAGACACACTGGTATCACAGGTACAGACACACTGGTATCACAGGTACAGACACACTGGTATCACAGGTACAGACACACTGGTATCACAGGTACACAGGTACAGACCCACTGGTATCACAGGTACACAGGTACAGACACACTGGTATCACAGGGACACATGGTCTGACCTGCTGCAGAGTATATAAATGTGTATATAAATAAACAGTTCTCACTCTGTGCTGTCAGACCATGGGTCTATGATAATAACTGGATAGAGTATTACAGCTTGGAGCTGAAGGACCATGTGCTCGGGGGATTCTCGCTACTGCAGACTAAACCAGACTAAACCAGACTAAACCAGACTAAACCAGACTAAACCAGACTAAACCAGACTAAATTCACGTGGGCTACCCAGAAATTTTCCCCATAGAACTCAATGTAAACAAAAACAGCTCAACCTCAGCTGACAGAGAACCTGACAGAGAACCTTCAGCTTCCATAAAGATCTGATTTTGTGGGGATTTTAGTGTCCCGCAAAGCATCATGGGAGATCATCCATTGCACAGAACAGGGAGGACCAGACGATGCCCAAATACAGGCGAGGGATATGGCGCTGGAAAAAGTGAAAAAACGCATCTGTGCATGTCAGCTGCGAGAGCTCAATTCATTTGAACGAGTGACTTCTAAAGTCCACAGCGACTAAACTAGACTGGTCCAGAACACTCCCTCAGCATTGACACACATGTGGAACGAAGCTTTGGGCCAAGAGAAAACTTTTGGACCATCCTGTAAAGACGTTTTCCAGAGGTTTGCCAATGCTATATGTTAGCATTGGCTAATTCTTATTCCGGGTCCACCCCCACAGGCCCGGGGTGGTACTGCATCATGTCAGCGCACGTCATTTTGGACACTTTTGAGCCGGGACCCGCCCCCACTGGTTTTATAGCATGACTGTTAGCATGACTATTAGTATGACTGTTAGCATGACTGTTTGCATCACTGTTAGCATGGCTATTAGCATGACTGTTAGCATCGCTGTTAGCATGACTGTTAGCGTTGTGTTCAGACCTGTACCAATTTCAAACCTGGAAGTGAGAGCTCTTGACTCTATCTTCAGCGTTCTCTGAGGAAGTGTTTGTGTTTGGTTCTGAGTGTTTTGACTGAACGCACTTCACCGTGAACTCTATTTTAAACAACATCAGCAAAGAAACGAGCACAAACTCATCTCCCGAGCGGCTCCTCACAGTCTGCTCCCATCCTTTACACACAGAGCTCGACCCTAACAGCAGCGTAATGTTTGTCCATGAAAGCTAAGCAACTTGTGGTGACTCTGATTGGATGAGCTGAAGGAGCTGACAGCACAGTTTGAAGGAAATAATCAAAAGGCCATTGTGGTTTTATAACTGGGTAGAAATGGAAAAGTAAGACCAAAACATAGCTGTATGTTTACTTTAACTCACAAATGATCCTTAATAATTCACATCAAGTGCAGTTAATGTTTTTACTGTCGTGTGGGAGAGTGAAATATGGTTGGCTTCAGTCGGCTGTGGACCTGTTGGTTTTTCTAACGTGAAATGGGCTGAAGATGTCTGGGGCAGACGGATTTATGATGTGATTGTGGCCCACGTCCTCTGGCAGCTGGAGAGTCCTGGACCTGGTGCCCACAGAGGACACATGTAAACAGTGGATAAACGGCACACGGTTCAGAAGGAGAACTCACAACATCATCACTGCGGTTTTATATCACGGTTTTATCATGGTTTTAAATCATAAAAACACTATATCATATTATCATCATAGATAGATAGATAAATAGATAGATGGGACCTGTGTGGGCTTCAAAGATTAAAAACTTACAACTTCATCAATACTTACTCATTACTTCATCATTACTTCATCATTGCTTACTCATTACTTGCTGCATCAGCTTCACATCGCACAGAAGCTCCATCCAAGCAGCAGCTTCATTCATGCCGCAACCCTCCTCCTCCCCATCTCCGCCTCGTTCTAGTCTAGCTCCTTCATCCTTCTCCGAGCTCCCAACACCACGGTCTAGGCCCCAGAGGACTTCCACCAGGGTCTAGGCCCCAGAGAACCAACACCAGGGTCTAGGCCCCAGAGGACTTCCACCAGGGTCTAGGCCCCAGAGAACCAACACCAGGGTCTAGGCCCCAGAGGACTTCCACCAGGGTCTAGGCCCCAGAGAACCAACACCAGGGTCTAGGCCCCAGAGGACTTCCACCAGGGTCTAGGCCCCGGGGAATTTCATCTCATAATGTATCTTCTACAGTCGTGCAGGTCTCTCTGGGTCTAAGGCCTAAGCACATTCTGTACAGCACAATAAATGTAATCTTGATAATAATGTCCTCAGAGTCATATTCCCAAACAACACAATTCTAATGCTCATGTTTTGTTGGTTCGACTCTCTTCAGGTTGAAGTAGAGCTACAGTTTTAAAGGGCAGCGAGTGAAAAGAATGCCCCAAGATTCATGAAGTGAACTTTTACCAAACAGAAGGTCTCATTATATATATTCTGCTCCACGTCCAAAGTTTCATGACCCACTTTCTCTGAAACATCTCCTGAGTTTAAGACCCCGGTACTTCCTCTGTCTCTGTCCCGAACAGCAGTCGCTCTTTTCCATGTTCAGCTCTGGACCCGACCAACTTCCTCCGCTGGCTCCAAACTCTATCATTTTTCCAAAGCAGCATTTATCCTCTGGGGATGCTGACTTCCTTTGAGCAGCAAATGTATAAAAATAGCTTCGTAAAACTATTCTCCCCAAAAAATCTGTTTCCACTGTACGGACAGAACACGGTCTTCTTCTGTTTCGCCGCCTTCGTATCGGGTTCAAAGACGGAATAATCTCAAGAGGTTGTTTGATTTCTCTCTTAGAGCCAGAACAACACATGATCCTGGAGTAATAACCACAGAGTCTGACACGTATGTACACAGACACGTATATACACAGACATGTATGTACACAGACACGTATATACACAGACATGTATGTACACAGACACGTATATACACAGACAAGAATGTACACAGACACGTATGTACACAGACATGTATGTACACAGACACGTATATACACAGACAAGAATGTACACAGACACGTATGTACACAGACATGTATGTACACAGACATGTATGTACACAGACACGTATATACACAGACATGTATATACACTGACACGTATGTACACAGACACGTATGTACACAGACATGTATGTACACAGACACGTATATACACAGACATGTATATACACAGACATGTATGTACACAGACACGTATATACACAGACAAGAATGTACACAGACACGTATGTACACAGACATGTATGTACACAGACACGTATATACACAGACAAGAATGTACACAGACACGTATGTACACAGACATGTATGTACACAGACATGTATGTACACAGACACGTATATACACAGACATGTATATACACTGACACGTATGTACACAGACACGTATGTACACAGACATGTATGTACACAGACACGTATATACACAGACATGTATATACACAGACATGTATGTACACAGACATGTATGTACACAGACATGTATGTACACAGACATGTATGTACACAGACACGTATGTACACAGACACGTATGTACACAGACACGTATGTACACAGACATGTATATACACAGACATGTATGTACACAGACATGTATATACACAGACATGTATGTACACAGACACGTATGTACACAGACATGTATGTACACAGACACGTATGTACACAGACACGTATGTACACAGACACGTATGTACACAGACATGTATGTACACAGACATGTATGTACACAGACTGAGTAAACACAAATGTACTGAATTGGATCATTTAACTTCAGAGTATTTACTGTATCAGGAAGTCACACTGTGAAGAATTATGAAAAATAAGTCAAAAGTTGCACAAACTCAGCAAAATGTGTCTTAATTTGTAGGTAATGTTAGTAATGTTTATTTTTACAGCACATGTTACAGACCACGGTCACCCAAAACACTTTACAAACCATAAAGCAGATATTTTTCACACACACTGATGACAGAAGCGAGTCCTGAACACACTGGTCCATCAAAGCCTCCGACCAAACACCCTCCATTCACTCACTACATTCAGACCTATTGAACATGTTTTTAGTGGTAGGGGAAACCGGAGCACCAAGACGAAACCTACGTAGACACGGGGAGAACATGCAAACTCCACTCAGAAAGGCCCTGTTCTGACTGAGATTCGAACCCAGGACCTTCTTTCCGTTTAATTTGAGCACATCTGGGACAAAGCAAAATTATGAAATAAAACTAAATGTCTTTGTCCCGCTGGAGAATCTGGTTTTAAGACAATTTAAGATAAAAAACACAATTGAAGCATTTATGAATCCATATTTTATAATTTTTTCAGTGTAAAAACTATAAATTAGCTTTGGCTGAAAGTGCAGTCGAGTTTTAAGTGTAAAAAGGTAAAATGTCTTGAAATTACTTCAATATCCAAATGCACACGACAGACATTTAGCAGCGCGGTGAAATGACTTTTATACATGCTTCTATTTTCTCACAGGATGTAATAAAAATAATAATAATAATAATAATAATAATTATGATAATAATAATAATAATAATAATAACAATAATAATACTAATAATACTAATAATAATTATGATAATAATAATAATAATCCTAAGAATAATAATTATGATAATACTAATAATCATAATAATGACAATAATGATAATAATTATGATAATACTAATAATCATGATAATGACAATAATGATAATAATAATAATAATAATAATAATACTAAGAATAATAATTATGATAATACTAATAATAATAATTATGATAATGATGATAATAATAATAATGACAATAATGATAATAATAATAATAATAATACTAAGAATAATAATGATGATAATACTAATAATAATAATAATAATAACAGCTGCCACACAGACAGAACATTCTCTCAGTAAAGTGTTTTTCCATTTCCTGCATAGAGCAGAGAGCGGCTCTTGCATCTGAACGACAGACTTCTTACTCTAATGGTTTTCTATAGTGTGAGTTCAAAGATGTGAGTGATACCGTGGGGGGGTCGGTCTGACTAATGTCCTGTGAATGCCCACCTCGGTCTGAGTGGGTGTCAATAGGCCCAGTCTGTTCCCACAATGCACCACTTGTTTGTACTGAACATGAGCAGAGTTTGTTTGGATCTTTACAGAAGCAGGACCAAGGTTTTCTCATCAGAACCATCTCAGTGTGTGTGTGTGTGTGTGTGCATGTGTGTGTCACTGTGTGTGTGTGTGTGTGTGTGTGTGCGTGTGTATGTGTCACTGTGTGTGTGTATGTGTGTGTCAGTGTGTGTGTGTGTATGTGTGTGTCACTGTGTGTGTGTGTGTGTGTGTGTGTGTGTGTGTGTATGTGTATGTGCCTGTGGGGGTGTACCCGGAATAAGAATTAGCCAATGCTAATCTATAGCATCTTCTTACCTCTCAAACAGTTTTACAGGATGGTCCAAAAGTGGGTCTTGGTCCAAAAGTGGGTCTTGGTCCAAAAGTGGGTCTTGGTCCAAAAGTGGGTCTTGGTCCAAAAGTGGATCCTGGTCCAAAGCTTCAGACCAAGCGCCCCTCAGACAGCACCAGTGTAATTTTTTGGACCAGTCTAGTTTAGCTGCTGTGGAATTTTGAATGCACTCTTTAAATGAACGGTGCTTTTTTACATTTTCCAGCCCCCGCGGCCATTTTGAAAAGCCCCATAGCAAACTAAAGTGATGTCACACTAGTTTAAAAGACGGAGGTAGCCATCACTACGTTCGTTAATATCTACAGTCTGAAAATGACCTTTACAATGAAGTAAAAATGTGTCTGTCTTTGGTACATGTGAGGGATGTGGGAATCTGGTTCTTTAGACCCGGGTTTAAAAAGACCAGTGGATTTTTTAACCCGAAGCAAGTTAAAAATGATTTATTGTAAAATCTATAACAAACCAATGTGACCGGACCACAGACTGTAGAATGGAGTGGACAGTTCTGCCAAAACCCAAAACCTTTTCCAGGAAGTAGAGATGGAGGCTAATTCTCTCACAGCAACCACCTAGCAACCAAAGAGCCAATCAGGAGCGAGGATTTGTTCCCGCAGCCCATTTACAAGTCAGTATATGATTTTGGAGCTGATTCAAAAAGGTTCATTATGTCTTGAGTTAAAATGTTTTTTACATATTTTTGGCCCAGGTCTGGACCAAACCAGGTCAGACCTTTCCAGTCTGTGCTGGTGTTGGTGTGTGTCTCTAACCCGGGGTTGTTTTGTGCCTGCCGCAGGTGGAGATGAGGAGTACATCTACATGAACAAAGTCCTGGTCGGCGACAGCAAAGGTGTGAGTTCTTTTTCCGTCTCGGCGCCATTTAAAAAAACACAACTCTTTCTGCATTTACAGGAAGCAGCACTTTTCAAACACAACATTTTTATATTTCCATAGATTTAATCAAGTGGCTCCACAAATATGAAATACTTGAGTGAAAGTACTTCCCATGACACCAGTGCACTTTGAGTTTCCTTTTGATGAAGATGAAGTGAACCTCCCTCGCTCTGGTATTCAGGGTCAAACACATCAAACTGTCCCGTCAGAGGCTCTAGTCCCTCAGACGGGACAGTGGGAGAGAGAGACCTCTGCCCTGGGCCTCCTGCTCTAGTCCCTCTGACAAGACAGTGGGAGAGAGAGACCTCTGCCCTGGGCCTCCTGCTCTAGTCCCCCTCAGACGGGACAGTGGGAGAGAGAGACCTCTGCCCTGGGCCTCCTGCTCTAGTCCCTCTGACAAGACAGTGGGAGAGAGAGACCTCTGCCCTGGGCCTCCTGCTCTAGTCCCCCTCAGACGGGACAGTAGGAGAGAGAGACCTCTGCCCTGGGCCTCCTGCTCTAGTCCCTCTCAGACGGGACAGTGGGAGAGAGAGACCTCTGCCCTGGGCCTCCTGCTCTAGTCTCTCTCAGACGGGACAATAGGAGAGAGACCTCTGCCCTGGGCCTCCTGCTCTAGTCCCTCTCAGACGGGACAGTAGGAGAGAGAGACCTCTGCCCTGGGCCTCCTGCTCTAGTCCCTCTCAGACGGGACAGTGGGAGAGAGAGACCTCTGCCCTGGGCCTCCTGCTCTAGTCTCTCTCAGACGGGACAGTAGGAGAGAGACCTCTGCCCTGGGCCTCCTGCTCTAGTCTCTCTCAGACGGGACAGTAGGAGAGAGAGACCTCTGCCCTGGGCCTCCTGCTCTAGTCCCTCTGACGGGACAGTAGGAGAGAGACCTCTGCCCTGGGCCTCCTGCTCTAGTCCCTCTGACAGGACAGTAGGAGAGAGAGACCTCTGCCCTGGGCCTCCTGCTCTAGTCCCTCTGACGGGACAGTAGGGAGAGAGAGACCTCTGCCCTGGGCCTCCTGCTCTAGTCCCTCTCAGACGGGACAGTAGGAGAGAGAGACCTCTGCCCTGGGCCTCCTGCTCTAGTCCCCCTCTTACGGGACAGTAGGAGAGAGAGACCTCTGCCCTGGGCCTCCTGCTCTAGTCCCCCTCAGACGGGACAGTAGGAGAGAGAGACCTCTGCCCTGGGCCTCCTGCTCTAGTCCCTCTCAGACGGGACAGTAGGAGAGAGAGACCTCTGCCCTGGGCCTCCTGCTCTAGTCCCCCTCTTACGGGACAGTAGGAGAGAGAGACCTCTGCCCTGGGCCTCCTGCTCTAGTCCCTCTCAGACGGGACAGTGGGAGAGAGAGACCTCTGCCCTGGGCCTCCTGCTCTAGTCCCTCTCAGACGGGACAGTAGGAGAGAGAGACCTCTGCCCTGGGCCTCCTGCTCTAGTCCCTCTCAGACGGGACAGTAGGAGAGAGAGACCTCTGCCCTGGGCCTCCTGCTCTAGTCCCCCTCTTACGGGACAGTAGGAGAGAGAGACCTCTGCCCTGGGCCTCCTGCTCTAGTCTCTCTCAGACGGGACAGTAGGAGAGAGAGACCTCTGCCCTGGGCCTCCTGCTCTAGTCTCTCTCAGACGGGACAGTAGGAGAGAGACCTCTGCCCTGGGCCTCCTGCTCTAGTCTCTCTCAGACGGGACAGTGGGAGAGAGAGACCTCTGCCCTGGGCCTCCTGCTCTAGTCTCTCTCAGACGGGACAGTGGGAGAGAGAGACCTCTGCCCTGGGCCTCCTGCTCTAGTCTCTCTCAGACGGGACAGTGGGAGAGAGAGACCTCTGCCCTGGGCCTCCTGCTCTAGTCCCTCTGACGGGACAGTAGGAGAGAGAGACCTCTGCCCTGGGCCTCCTGCTCTAGTCTCTCTCAGACGGGACAGTAGGAGAGAGAGACCTCTGCCCTGGGCCTCCTGGGCACAGAGAAATGTCTTGAAAGATTAGCTTCAGATTTAGCTTCAGACTTAGCTTCAGATTTAGCTTCAGACTTAGCTTCAGATTTAGCTTCAGATTTAGCCTCAGACTTAGCTTCAGATTTAGCTTCAGATTTAGCTTCAGATTTAGCTTCAGACTTAGCTTCAGACTTAGCTTCAGACTTAGCTTCAGACTTAGCTTCAGACTTAGCTTCAGACTTAGCTTCAGACTTAGCTTCAGATTTAGCTTCAGATTTAGCTTCAGACTTAGCTTCAGACTTAGCTTCAGATTTAGCTTCAGACTTAGCTTCAGATTTAGCTTCAGATTTAAGATTTAGCTTCAGACTTAGCTTCAGACTTAGCTTCAGATTTAGCTTCAGATTTAGCTTCAGACTTAGCTTCAGACTTAGCTTCAGACTTAGCTTCAGATTTAGCTTCAGACTTAGCTTCAGATTTAGCTTCAGACTTAGCTTCAGACTTAGCTTCAGACTTAGCTTCAGACTTAGCTTCAGACTTAGCTTCAGACTTAGCTTCAGACTTAGCTTCAGATTTAGCTTCAGACTTAGCTTCAGACTTAGCTTCAGACTTAGCTTCAGATTTAGCTTCAGACTTAGCTTCAGACTTAGCTTCAGATTTAGCTTCAGATTTAGCTTCAGACTTAGCTTCAGACTTAGCTTCAGACTTAGCTTCAGACTTAGCTTCAGATTTAGCTTCAGACTTAGCTTCAGACTTAGCTTCAGACTTAGCTTCAGATTTAGCTTCAGACTTAGCTTCAGATTTAGCTTCAGATTTAGCTTCAGATTTAGCTTCAGATTTAGCTTCAGATTTAGCTTCAGACTTAGCTTCAGACTTAGCTTCAGACTTAGCTTCAGACTTAGCTTCAGACTTAGCTTCAGATTTAGCTTCAGACTTAGCTTCAGACTTAGCTTCAGATTTAGCTTCAGATTTAGCTTCAGACTTAGCTTCAGATTTAGCTTCAGACTTAGCTTCAGATTTAGCTTCAGATTTAGCTTCAGATTTAGCTTCAGATTTAGCTTCAGACTTAGCTTCAGACTTAGCTTCAGATTTAGCTTCAGACTTAGCTTCAGATTTAGCTTCAGATTTAGCTTCAGACTTAGCTTCAGATTTAGCTTCAGATTTAGCTTCAGATTTAGCTTCAGATTTAGCTTCAGACTTAGCTTCAGATTTAGCTTCAGATTTAGCTTCAGACTTAGCTTCAGATTTAGCTTCAGACTTAGCTTCAGATTTAGCTTCAGATTTAGCTTGAGATTTAGCTTCAGATTTAGCTTCAGATTTAGCTTCAGATTTAGCTTGAGATTTAGCTTCAGATTTAGCTTCAGATTTAGCTTCAGATTTAGCTTCAGACTTAGCTTCAGATTTAGCTTCAGATTTAGCTTCAGATTTAGCTTCAGACTTAGCTTCAGATTTAGCTTCAGATTTAGCTTCAGATTTAGCTTCAGATTTAGCTTCAGACTTAGCTTCAGATTTAGCTTCAGATTTAGCTTGATTAAAGTATTAAATGTCACGACAAACACGACCTATGTAAAGTGTGTATATTTTTATGTAGTGTTTTGGGGGTGGGCACCAATAAGCTTTTGCTTCGGCCCACTCCTTTTGAGCAGTACTTGTCTGCTCAAATAAACAAATAAATAAAAAATAAAAAAATAAAACATTATTATAAAAGGTGTTTTTTATTCAATGCTAAATTACAATAATCTTGCATGTATTTGAATTGTGTTCACGGGACAAGCTTTTACTTCCTTCTCACTGCATTTCGAGCTGACAAACAGTAAATAGAAGTTGTAAATACTTATTAATATTGTAGATAAACGACACACGGTGAGACCAGGGCAAACACTGCTGCTTGATCGTACAGTTATGTTTATATATCTCCATGTATATATAACTAATGCAACTAATGAATGTAAATATCGTAAATACTTATAATTGTAACATTTCTGCTCGAATGAATAAAACCAATCAATCCATGAACACTACAAACGAATTGTGTGGAGAAAAAAAACTTTATTGATCTTGAAGGAAGTGACAGTAGTTTTTAGTGTTGTCACAAATGTCAAACTTGATTTCAATTCTAGAAAAAAGAACCAATTTTGATTCCACTGCGATTTTCATAAATGCTGAAATCAAAAATATCATACATAGAAAGTACAGTAAGAACTTTAATCTTGTCCGTTAACAAACTCTAACATCCGACTACCTCCTCCTGACTCTCTTCTTCTCTTCTTGTCTGACGTAGACGGAGCTGAAGGCCTCGTGAACGGGAAATCTGGAAAGTTCAGTCCAGTCCCACAGAAAACTCTCCCGGAGCTTCCCCCGCCCAGAGCTGTGAGTGTTTGTGATGTCGCATGATCCTTCTCATACACACTCTGGTCCATGAGGTTTGAAACTGAAGAGATGTTGCCTCAAGTAGAAATCACTCTAGGTTGGTTACTGGCTGGTTTTGGGTTCGAATCCCGGTCGGAACAAGGCCTTTCTGAGTGGAGTTTACATGTTCTCTCTGTGTCTGCGCAGGTTTCCTCCAGGTACTCAAGGTGAATGGAATGTGTGTTTGTGTGAGTGTGACTGTGGGACGAAGGATGGAAACTAGCCCATGGTACGATCCGGAGTGATGTGTTCTTTCACATGGACTGTCCCGAACAAATAAACAATAAACTAAACTAATTAAAACAATAATTAACCTGTGCTGTAATAGTGGGTTAAAATCCAAGCGAAAAATAGGCTCTACCGCTCACTCCGCTCTTCATTTCTCACTGGTAAAGTACCATGTGGAGCTAATCTCACTGGTAAAGTACCATGTGGCGCAGAACTAAAAAAGGTCTCGTTATGATTCTCAAATCATTAACGACAAAACAAGGAATAAAACCAGGATTTCTATCTTTGTGAAAAAGGTGTTGGTTATAGATTTGTTGTTGACAAAACTCTTGTCTATTCAGCTGTTATGGTCCCAGCTGGATTCGTCTGCATATCTGGCAACCTGAGTCAGGGAGAGTGGGAGAGGCTGCAGTACTACTTTTGACCACACTTTCACATACTGCTCCTTTAAAACCCACCACCCATTTTGCACCCACTGAGGATTACCATTGAGGTGAAAAGCGCCCCCTGGCTGTTGACACATGCAAGTTATCCATGTGACTGAGGCTGACGAACAGATTTCTGGGTTAAAATAGGGACAAGCCTAATTTAATGCAGTGAATTACAGCCGTATGTCGTCAGTGAGGGTTTTATTGGTAGAACCATTTTCCCACACAGCTCAGCGTGTCATCGCTTCAGGCTTTTGAAATCTATATCCCCCAAAGACAAGGACCGACTATAATCAAATCTTAAAGGAACAGAGAAAGTTAAGACACAGACTTTCCCAGTTTCTCTCGATCTCGTCCGTTTGTTTTGTGTTGGAGAGTGGTAACGTGAGCAAAACTATAGAGGGACATAGAAGTTTAAATGTATTTAAATGTAATTTTGTAAAACTCTAAATCACAACAGTAGTTTTCTCAGAATCCAACAGTTCAAAGACAAGAAACGAAATGATAAAAACATTGGATTTGGTTTTATTTTGAAATGAGTTCTCTGTGATTTCATTTTTAGTTGTACTTCCTGTTCCCCTGTTTGAGTCTCTGTATCTGTACCTGTGTCTATATGTACCTGTGTCTCTGTGTCTGTATGTACCTGTGCTTCTCTCTGTGTACCTGTGTCTCTCTGTGTCTATATGTACCTGTGTCTCTCTGTGTATATATGTACCTGTGTCTATATGTGTCTATATGTACCTGTGTCTATATGTACCTGTGTCTCTCTGTGTCTGTATGTACCTGTGTCTATATGTGTCTATATGTACCTGTGTCTATATGTACCTTTGTCGCGGTGTGTCTATATGTACCTGTGTCTATATGTACCTGTGTCTCTCTGTGTCTGTATGTACCTGTGTCTATATGTGTCTATATGTACCTGTGTCTATATGTACCTGTGTCTATATGTACCTTTGTCGCGGTGTGTCTATATGTACCTGTGTCTCTGTGTCTATATGTACCTGTGTCTCTGTGTCTATATGTACCTGTGTCTCTGTGTCTATATGTACCTGTGTCTGTGTGTCTATATGTACCTGTGTCTCTGTGTCTATATGTACCTGTGCTTCTCTCTGTGTCCCTATGTATCTGATTTTTGGTTCATTTTTACCCTGGATTTTAAGCGTATTATCTCCATTAAATCATTCCTGCTTTTTGGGTCTTTCCAAATACTTTCTTTTCTTGTCCTCACAGAGACGTTGGTCCATAAGGGACCGAGACCCTGGATCATCTCCACTGTCCTCAGACCCTCCAACATCTGCAAGATAAAACTCTAAACACACATAAGTTAAAGTCTGTGCTAATTCTAGAAAGCTAACGATAGTATTACAGCAGTCCTTCAGGTCACAGTGTAAAACCATGAATCCTCTCTGCTCTGGTCTGGACCAGTGTAAAACCATGAATCCTCTCTGCTCTGGTCTGGACCAGTGTAAAACCATGAATCCTCTCTGCTCTGGTCTGGACCAGTGTAAAACCATGAATCCTCTCTGCTCTGGTCTGGACCAGTGTAAAACCATGAATCCTCTCTGCTCTGGTCTGGACCAGTGTAAAACCATGAATCCTCTCTGCTCTGGTCTGAGACACTCAGGAGTTGTATTCTAAAAACATGGAGGTTACAGAATCCCAATGCACTCTGGGCCGTGCGCCTGACGCCCACACGACCCGCGGCCTCCCCCAAAATAAACCGGGGGAACAGCTGGAGCTCATCAGGCGTCGCTCTGATGCAGATGTGAAGAATATAAAAGTGAGAAACTTTCGACCCCAGGAATAAATCTGTCAAAGTAAAGTTTAGGATCGTCACAAATCTGTCCTTAACGTCAGACAAAGAGAGGGATTTGTTTATCGTTGTATTTACAGCTGTGTTTGAAAGTCTAGACACCCAGCCAGAGACTACATTGTACCGGCCAAATGTCGTCCTGCCGTGGGGAAATTCCAGGGTTGCATCACACGTTACAGAACAGTAGGAATGAGAAGAACACTTATGTTTGCTCTTTTTAATGCACTGCGGCTATTTATGATTCTATTTTCTATGTTTATGTTTCTTGTCATCTTAATTTATTTTAAATCATATTTTTTTAACATATTTTTTAAATCATATTTTGTTTTTGTATTTTCAAATAGTTTTTTTTAAATGAGCATTGGGTGCGGCTCTGATTGTCACCCCCCTCACCCAGAAATGGACTAAATAGACCCAGAAAATTTATGCATTTTTAAATCATATTTTTTCATGTTTTATTCAAGTTATAACATCTTTGAGCCAGTCTACGGAGCTCTCAAACATACAGTTCATGCAAGGCAACCCAGTAATTTACAGGAACTGGCGGCTTTTTACCAAGAAGAATGTGCAGCTTTACCATCAGAGAGAATTAAGAACCTCATCCACAACTAAAGACTCCCACCGGTTATAGTTCGGCAAAATCTTTTTCCCGTCTGGCCTCGGTGCGTCGGTCTCTGGGTTCACCGTCTCAGGAAGTCTGAGGAGACACGTCCACAGAGATCCACTTTTCGGGAATCCTTTCATTTGTCTGTGAGGCTTCCAACCTTCCGCGGTTATTTTATACTCAAGAGTCAGCATGTGTTTGACCGTAAACACCGAATCACCTCTGACCATCGAGGTGAACAGCGCCCCCTTGCTGTTGATGTACAGACCTGTCATGGCGGTCCATTGTCCAGTGGTGATGCTGTAACTGTCCATGAGACATCGCAGGAAATCGTCCCCGGGTCCGTTTCGCATCACGTACAAGTTGTCCCGATGCGCCACCATGCAGTGACCGTAACTTTGCCTTTTTATCAACGCCGTGGTTAGTTTCCATTCGTCTCGAGCTGGAAGATACTCGTAGATATCTGTTGTGTCCGGCGATTTCCAGAAGCAAACAAACATTCTTCGTCTCGTCACCGCGCATGCTGCAGATCCCACAGGCCTCGGCGCTGCTTGGGTAAAAGTCCAAAGACCGGTTTTGACGTTGTATCTTTCTGCGGTGGCGATATTTCGACTCTCCAGCTCTCCTCCGATGGCGTACAGACTTCCTTCATGACCCAGGAGTGTGAAGTTGTACCGCGGTTGTTGCGGACCAGCGAGATCCGTCCATAGTCCTGACTGAGGGTCGTAGCAAAAACTGCGATCGACCGTGTCTTTCTTATACCCGTAAACTCCACCCACGATGTATAACCGGTTGTCCAGCACGGCCACACCTGCCATAGACGTGCTGCAGAGAGTGGGTAAACTGGTTAGGTGCTTCCACTCCTGCTCATTTTCATCCAAGTAACAAACCACTCTGAAGGAGTCGTTCAAAAGCTCCATCGAGGGCGTGTGCGTGCCCAATGCTATGTACTTCGCCGGGGATAGCGTTCGGGAATACTCCAGCAACTCCTCCGGAAGCTGCGTCTCTGCCGTCTCCTTCAGGTCCTCGAAGGCATCGGCGAGAAACTGCGCAGCGCGATGAGAAACCGGAGTCAAACCGAAGACGTAGGAGGTGTAGTAGAGCAGCAGGCAGTTGTCGGAATCGATGATGTCGCAGAGATGTCGCGCTAGCATCGGCACTTGCAGGAAAGCGGCGCATTCGATCGCGTCTATGAGCTCCTCCGGATCGCTGAGAGTCGGGAGTTCACCCCGGCACACTGCGAGGGCGATGAGAAAACCACGAGGCCTCACTCCACCTTTTAGACAAACCTCTTCCTGGTGGCTCTCGATCATTCCGGACTCAAAAAGAGCCTTGAAGTAGTCGCTGTACTTTGCCAACGTCGTCCGTTCGACTTGAAAGCAGCATTCCTCAATCCACACTTTCACCAGCTTCTCGTGGTCTTCTCCAGCCTCCAGATTAAGTAACCCACTTCCGCCGGGCATTTCCTGGGCCTCTAGTCCCGCCATGAAGCCCCGGACGTCTTTGTCTCAAAATGACAAAGCTGTGACAAGCATGAGAATCGGATTACACACTTTTTCCCCTTGGACCCAGTCTGTAAATACTGGTTTGCCGGACACCCATTGCGCCCGTCTGCAGGGTGGTCCCAAAATAGACCGGGGCTATTGATAGTGGCGGTGGCACTTTGAGAGCGTCCGGGAGAGAGAGAGGCAGTGGAATTAAAGGGACGGGATGTAAGTTTGCTGAGGGAAGGAGCAGTGATTTTTGTTTCCATGGAGATGTCTCTGTTTGGCCTGAAAAGCTCCGAGATAATAAATGTATGTGACCTTGTTGTGATCTAATCGTTATGTAATTTGAAAAGAACAGATAGATACACATGTGTAAGCGTGTACACACACACACACACACACACAAAAAGCACACACACAAACGCACACACACTTGTACTCCACTTGTACCGTACAGGTCTGGGGCGGCTGTGGCTTCCACTTGTACTGTACAGGTCTGGGGCGGCTGTGGCCTCACATGAAGCCTCTCTGGATCCTTTCGTCCCAGTTCCCAGCTGGCTTTGCAGATTTGCTCTGTGTGTGCAGTTCTTGATGCTTGAAGAATTCTTGGCACGGGAACTGGGGATTTTCCATGTTTCTGCCTTTTGCGTTTTTGGGTCTCTTTTCCCACTCCTCTCCCCAGCCCCACTCCCACCACACCCTGGACTCCCCCATTACTCCTTTCTTACCCTCCAACACTTATTATGGCCTGATCCAATCCGGTAACCCTCTGTCTCTGAGGAAGACGCCGCGGCTTAACCATGAGTTCATCATGGAGGTATGACACAGGCTTTGTTCTCACTCTGAGCTGGGTCCAAATGTGAAAACGACTGGATGCTTCTGAGATAACATGATGTGGTGGAGGCGGCTCAGGAATGTAGGACTTTCTCTTTGAATTCATAACACAAGTCTAAGTTCTGTCCCTTTGTTCTAAAATATACACAAGAATAAGGACAGTATTTAAAACATGTGTCTCTAAAGAAGAGTGTTACTTTAAGTTCAGTTAGTAAAGCCTTCAAACTTCACTTATTTATACAATAATTAAAGTAACTTTCCCATGTGCGTTCGAGTCATGGAGCTATAATAATATATTATATACAATATTTGCTTATAGCTGTCCCACCCATTGGTGCAATGCATCATGGGAGCTTGACTACTGCGCAGAACCGGGGGGACCAGACGATGCACAAATACGAACGAGTTCCGCTAATCTCTCAGTCCCCATGGGGGGGCGCCACTGAGCACAAGCCGTTGATTTGAACAGCACCCCCTCTTGGATCGCCGGGGCTTGGTTAGGGTTATTGTTATTGCTAAGGTTAGGGTTAGAACTACAGTTAGTGTTTGCTAATTAGCACTTAGTTAGCTGCTTATTAGTGAAGGCAAATCTAAAGTGTGGCCTTGATCTCTGTCCTCAGTCTCTCGCTCACACACAGCTGCTGTCAGTGTTTCTGTGTGTGACATCACTTCATCTGCCCTCGGTTACTGCAGGACTGTGGGGACTCCCTACACACGGCCAAACATGTGACATCACTCAAGTTAAATGAACACACATCTTTCTTGTTTTAATTATTACTTGGATCCATTTTGTTATACGTTAAAGCTGCGGTCCCTAACCTTTAGTTCCCAACAGAAAGAATCGAGCAAAAGTAAATCCCAACATTCTGTGCTCATGCTTTTGGAAATATTTAAATCTTTTTCATATTTGTGAGAAAGAGCCTCGTGAGTCAGTATTTGACACTTTAGGCTGAGATCTTTTTCACTTTTTTCGTATTTAAAATCTGATCTAAAGCTAAAAATACATGAATGAGAAACTCGTAATAGAACCAAACTGTTTTGCGCTAAAACTTATATTAACAAAAGATAATTATATTAAATGTTTGTGTAAATGCCTTTATTCCCTTCAGAAGAACAGATATGACCTTATTCTAACCCAAAATGTCTGGACGTGTGGTTACATGTGGAGCAGATTACAGATTACAGATTACAGATTACATTCAAGTGGAGGAACAGGACGGGCCTCAGTCTACATCCGTGTCTACTCACAGAGAAGACGTTTCCACACATGTCGTACCTGCAGGTGTGGGACTCATGGATCCAGACTGTTGTGGGAGAGAAGCCGCTGTTGCACAAACGGAGACACACAAATGTTTGAATTAGACTTTTTTAATTTTGAGTCAAAAGTTTTTGGGCCACACACAGTCTTAGAAGAGAGTGTGTGTTCCTCTCTGCTCAAAGTCTTATTCTGAGTCAGAGAGTTAGGGTCAAAGTTTGTCTTTGTCACTTTTAGTCCCCAAGTTATAGACATACACACACACACAGACATACACACTGCCCAAATACAGATACACACACATGCATATACACGTACACACACACACACCACACACACACACAGACATACACACACACACTGCCCATATACAGATACACACACATGCATATACATGTACACACACACACACCACACACACACACAGACATACACACACACACTGCCCATATACAGATACACACACATGCATATACATGTACACACACACACAGACATACACACACACATACAAAAAAACAAACACACAAAGACACACACACCTACACATTACACACACTTCACATATACAGATACACACTCATGCACATACACACACACATACACAGACATGCACGTACACACACACACACATACACACATGCACATACACATCCAGACATATGCACATACACACACATACATACACATAGACACACACATACACAATAACATACACACACATATACAGACATACACACTGTACACAAACAGATACACACACTCACCCAGGTCATAAAAATCAACACAATGTCCATCTATAAAAAAGAAACTATCTCCAAATATTAAATTATAGTTATATTTGTATGTTACAGATAAAAACACATTTGTCCAAAGTTTATCCTGAATATTTCTGTACATCTGAAAAAATCAACTCAAATTTGAAACACGGACCATGTGTCATTCGTCTCAAAAATGTAAACAAAGAGATTTTAGTTTTATTCATTCTGTACGGATCTGACCCTTTTGGTTTCCAAGTTTTTATTACCGCTTGTTTTTAATCTTTTCCAGGGAGTGCTGGGTCGAGAACCTTTCCCTTTACCTCCACTTCCTGCTGCAGCC